AAAATATATTTGTTATAATTAATACAGTGAAATATGAAACATGTTCTAATTACGTTGATAATAAATTAACAAATTTTAGTAAAAGTATAGAATAAAAATATTATCTATTATATAATATAATTCATACTCAATATTTTATAATTAGCAATTTTAAAAAAATATATAGTTTCAAAAGCTAATATTGATGAGTTGTAATAAATTTTATATAAATAATCGCTATTTTTCTAATCACATATTTATCTCATAAATATTTTTATAATAAATGTTCAATTATAAAAGAATGAATTCTTCTTAAAAAAAGATAATGTTATGAACTAGATAAATATTACTTGTTATAATAAATGCACGAATATTAATAAGATAGTGACATAATTAAACATTTTTATTTCTGTATCTTAGAATATATAATATCTACAACTGATCAAAGCATTCGTTATCATATATTTGTTTCCTATCATCACTATAATTTTATTTAGTATAATTCCACCAATGAAAAATATATTAAAACATTATTTTCTAAAATTCATAAATTTTTACATATGCACTTGTATTACTAATTAGATGTATTATTCAATGCAATATATCAATATATAATTAAAAATATATATATATATAATATGTAAAGTATCATAGAAGCTTTCATAGTACATGTGTATAAACATGTAAATGATATAATCCATCATCTCCCCAAATAAAAAATTTAAAATGATACATAACATTGTATCTTGTATTCATCTGATTAATATGTAAAATTACTTTATATATATGTATTCCTTATATGATTTATATATAATTTGTGCAGTTTATGTTAGTTTAGCTTAGTAACGTTTTATCATTCTATATTTAATGAGGATGTCAACATTAAATTTAGAGTAGTAGTTCTTACATAAATAGATATTCAATATTTTTAATAATAAATTATAATTTCTACGATAAGTTTTAGTATAAATAAGAAGTAATTTTATATATATACATGAATATGAATAAAATGTATTTCTATTGTATACTTTTTTTCTTTATGATGTGATATTTTGTTATTATAATTTATATATATATTGATTGCATTAATATTATATTATGTGATGTAATTTTTTTATTAAAATAAAGTATTTATGTAGTCCATATTTGCAACCTCATAAGAACATATATTATGCGTCACAAATGATTACTATTAGATTTTCGGCTGAACAATAATAAAAAATCTAACGTGTTCAACAAATTTTTCTCATTATTTCTATAATTACAGTATAGATTAATGAGGAGCTATTTAACACACTCTTTCATTAATTCTAGATAAAGACATTTGTATTTTCACACATTTCATTATTTTATTTACTTCCCGCAAAATCAATTTTTTATACTTATTTCAGATGGGGAAAATAGATGTATGCCTGAATTAATATAACACTAATTACAATATATTAATACACGTATGTTCCATTCTCGACAAATAGAAAATAAATATATATAAAAGGATATATATTTTACATAATACTTTTTTTTTTTTTTTTTTTCTTTTTCAGTATAGTTTAGTAAAAAGATTTCATGATATTCAACAAAAAATAGATGTTTATAAGAGTCAGGTGGGAGATGTAATATGTAATTCAAGCGCTCTTTCTAAGATACATATTAAAGATAATTTCGATACTAACACTTGCAGCAGGGCTATGTTATGTGTATCCTATATGCATTATATAAAAACAAAAGATGAGTTCACATATGAAGATTATTTATATATGTATTATTCTATATATAATAACCTTGGGGAAAATAATAATAGATCAGAAATATATAATATATGTAATGCGCTGATCAATGCATCTGGATATGAAAGCAAGGATATATGTAAGCATTTTAGTATCACTGGATTTTCTTATAATGAACTGGGGAAAATCAAAAATTTATACAATATGTACAAGAGTCTTGAAAATATAAAGAAACATTATTGTCAATCTAAGGAAAATGATGACTTTTGTAAATCAGCGAAAGATATTATTAATGAATATTATCCATCAAAGCATGATCCTAGTTGTCAAGGGGTCATATATAAAGTACCGGTCACACAACATGCAAGTATTTCTATTCCTATATTAATTACAATTATTACAATGTTAATAATGTCCATTTTATTATTTATTGTATTTAAGGTATATTATTATATTATATATAATATTATAGAATAGCTAAATATAGTTTAAAAAAGAGAAATATTTAATATAAAAAAAATTATATTCTTAATATATAAATTTTGTTTTTATTATTACATAGTTTACTCCATATGGATCATACTTGGTACGTATATTAAAAAGTATTAGAAATATGTTTAACAATATCAATGAAGAACAGCAGGTTCTGGAAGCATCTGAATTATCAGGAATTATTTGTAATGGCAGTAGGTATAATGTATTATATCATTGTGAATAATTAATTCATTATATATAAAAAGAGAATATTTTAAATGAATATGTATGTAGACTCAATAAAATTATATATAGAATGATCCTCTTAGAAACATTATATATTGGTAAAAATGATCTTCGTGTATGGTAATACTGATTTAAATATTAATTTGAAAGAAAACAAGAGAACAATGTAAAAAATATTATTTGCTTTAATATAAATAATATTAATATATTTCACATCCTTATTTTAATATATAGTATTTTGTGTTTAATTTATTTTTTTTAAATTTTAATCATAAAAATTATGAATTAAATTAAAAATCCATTATAAACCACATAGTATGTCATGCATAAATAAGAAATTTTGATAATAATTTAACACAAGTTCTATGAAACATTTTCATATATATTTTGATATTATAGAACAATAGTATTCAAAAGTAAACTTTGAATTATTAAATATACATATAACTTAATAATTTTAATATATAATAAACCTGATATTTATTTTTAGAAATTTTATTATGTGCCACTGAATTTAAGTACTTATATGAGAGTGTCTATGACATAAAAATTTAAGGTATATATTGAAGGGCACAATATATAACAAATTATAATTTCCTTAATTTTTATTTTTCTTCATTTTATGTACTCGCTTATTCTATTACATATTTTTTTTATATTCATAATTTAATATTTAACAAAAAGATATTTAAATTATGATATTGCAAAATCATTTTAGTATTTAGTAATATATATTAACTATGAATTCCCTCTAGATAACTAAAATAGGCTAATCCTTTTATTTTTTGATGCGAATTGAAAATATTTTGTATTAAAATAGGAGAATATATTTTGTATTTCATCACCTATTGTGCTATTTGCATTATTTCTTTTTGTCCAAAATACTTTTTTTTTAGAAGACTATATCTAAAAGCTAATAAATATAAAGTATAACATGCATAAATTGTATCCATTATTTAATGTATTATATTGGAATAATTACTCCTTAAAAAAATTTCAGAATCATTATATATTACATTATTTAGAAAAAAAATATAGCTTACTGTCATTTAATGAGGAATGTATAAAGGAAAATAGTTTTTATAGGGGATGAATTGTGTGATGCATTTGTAATAGTTTCAATAAAAGAAAACATTATGAGTTCATTGTGTTTAATGTTTTTTCTTGTTTCGAATAAATAGAATAACGATTTCGATCTTCAATATTAGATAAAATACTATGAATTTACATTTATTTATTAATTCTTCGAATAACCATTCATTGACAAACGAATAAATGTTATAATTTTTTTGAACATATTTGGAATATAATTTCTTTTAATTTATCCTTTAAAAAATCGTTATTGATAAATATTCCTGCAGATATAAATTTTATATAGAACATGTAATGATACACAAGGACTAATCAAACTAACATAATAATTATTAACAGCACCATTTATCGATGATTCACTCGAAGAAAAATTCATGCATGTGGAAGAAACATAAAAAATTAAAGAAATTATTGCATTGTATCAAATATATGATTTATAAAAAATAATATATATGTACAAAATCATTTATAAATATATGTAATTTCATATATAATATAAATTAGAGGGGTTATTATAACCTTATCCATATTATAAGAAATTAATTAATAATTTTTGAGACATTCTATTAATGTAACTTCTATAATGCTAAATATTTGTGCTTTATTCTTATTACATTATGGTATGTATAAATATATATGTATAATTTATTATATTATATGAATTTTTCTATTATTTTTTTCTATATATGTTATTATTAAGACTTCATAAAGTTATGAATTTGTACATTATACCATTTATATTTTTTCAAGATAAGAAAAATTTTTTGAATTATTTCATAACTTATAGGATTTTATTAGAATATATTATGAAATTCACTATTATATTTATAATATATATATTATGTTCTGTTTCTTTTTATATACATAATCTAATAGTAGTTACTAACACTACATATTTATGTTGCTATATTGTTCTCAATAAATATGTTTTTTTAATACTAGATAAGAAATTATAATATTAGTTACACATTGTTTTTCCTTATTTCTCATAATGTGAATATTTTATAATTCATTGTATCATGTAAAAGGATTTCATAATAAAATATGTATATAATAACACGAAAATCTTCATTTTAATATACATGTAAATATAAAAAGAATATATTAATGTTCTTTAAATGTATCTAATGAAATAGATCAGAAATCTCTATTTATACAAATAAAAATGGCGTAAAAAAATATATAAGACTTATGAATATTTGAAAATGCAGATATAAATGTATATTGTAATATTACTAATAAAATCAGGAATATAAATTTAAACGAGGGAATATAACGACACCAATAAATGTCCTAGTTTTCATGTATTTTTTGATAATTATAATATATTTCCACTTAGTAGAAAATAAAAATATGTTCAGAGTATGCATATTATAATAAAGTTCCCATAATACTTTTAGTCGTACAATATTAATTTAATAAGCAATATAATTACAATAAAATTATTAATTATTATTATTTGAATACATTTTAATTTAACAGTATAAACATATAGAATTTATATTTTATAATGTATTTCAACATATGATATTAATAATTTTTATGATTCTTTTATAGATCGTCAGCATTAATTATTCATTCCATTTAAAAGTATTCCTTATTTGAGATAAAATTGTATGTTATACATTTTATCAATTATGTTTTAATATATTTTTGTTATATATTTTTAATTAATTATCCTTTGTTTAGCATAAAAGTATTAAATTTGTGCTCATAGATGATTCTAAAGAAGTATTATAATTTTAAATTATCATAGAAAAATGTTTGAACATATATAAAAGATAATAATATAATAATTATTATATATGAGAACATTTTTATTGCATTTATGTGTGTCATCCACAATTTATATAAGAAATATGATATTTTTATTAATGATTTATTTATCAAATTTAATCATTCTGATTTATAAAAATTTGATTTTTATACTCCAACACAGGCATATTTATATATTTAATAAAAATTTATACCTCGCTCGAAATATTTGAACAATATTAAGCATAATAAAAATATTTTATTACGCGTATTTTCTATTACATTATTGTATATACAGCTTAATAATAAGAATAATAAAATTTATGCATAAAATTTTTCACTTCAGCACATTAATTATAATGAATAAAATTACGTATGTTTTATTTTCATTTACGCTTTATGTATGTAAATTATATTTTTTTATTAATTTCAATATTATATACATGAGTAATATTTTTATGATTATTTGTTACATAAGCTTTTATCTTTTTCTTCTTATTTATTAAGTACTAATTTCTTTTTCTTGAGTATTTTATATATTGTATATCACCAAATGTTATATTTTTTTACACATTTCATTTTTACACTGCAAATTATTATTCTTCGAAGGAAAACTATATATTTATTTGTTTATTTTATTTTATATTTTATATAATTTGAATATGTTGTACCTATATAATAATCTATATTTCATAAATATACTTCTTTTTTAAGAATGTAAATATATTAAAAATTTGTTCCTCTATCATAATTTATAAATACATCTCTAATCCAAAATTCATGGAATGGAGATTCTGTTGGTTTATGTATAAATTTATTTATCTCTTCTGTTAATATTTTATATTTATTATGCCATATCATCCTAATTAAGGAACTAAATCTGTTTCTCAAACCAAAAGACTGATGAAAGAATTAATAATAAGTATAATGTAAATTTTGTTATTATATATTTTTATCTATAATTAATAATTTATTAGAAAATGAATTAAAAAATATAGTTAAAACATTTTACATTGTGTATAAATAAATAAGAATGTTATACGAAACCAACAATGAATATAGAAAGCGGAAGAACAATTTTCACAGATACATTTTTTTTAGCAAACTGGTCAATAATATCTGTAACTTCATGTGTTGGAGAAGACAAATGTGAGGAATTTACTAAATCCTGATCTCCTTCTACTAAATATGCATGTACTCCAATAGAACTACAGGATAAATTATAAAACAGCTTATTAAGTTCTTTTTCTTTCTATTCTTTATATAAGTAGCAATAATGTTTATATGATAACTCTGAGAACACATTTCCTATTTTATTATATGAATTTTCAATTTGTATAATATAAGTACAATAGTACTTTTTGAAAAAATCATCAAAAATTTTATCAAAACTGAACTCAAGAAATGAGTAATTTTTAGAATAATCATACAACTGCTTCATTATATTAAAATCTGATACACTTATATTATAGATGCGGAAATTTCAATTTTCAAAAATATCAAAACAATATTGCCATAATTTAAGGATATATTTAAATATCTCTGATTGCGATATATCATCATCATTAATGTTAAAATTGTTATTAATTAAATAATAATATATCCAATAATTTAGATCATGGCAACTTTCTGTACTACCTTGTAAGTTATATATTTTAAAACAATCATTTGTGCTATTTTTTGTTAATAGTAACAGAATTTTTTAAAATGCGGAAAAGATTCCATTTGGTATTCCTGACCATCACAGTCTTCATTGTAAACCTTATTATCGAGAATATCAAAGGATAAATAAGTATAATATGTTTTTAACTTTTCATATTCTTTCTTCTGCAGCATTAAATAAAAAAAGTTACTTATATAAATACATGTTAAAATATTTAATTTTTATGCTTTTTGAGTGGAAACATATATTATCTATGTAATATATAAAAATATATTATTATCAAATAAATATGGAAATACAAAATCTTCCATTTTATTAGTTTCTTTTGAATGACCAAGTATTATATATATTAGGCTTAGCGTTCAGGATTTAGGTTTAGGTGTTCTGAGTTCAGTGTTCACTTTTTGGTATTTATAATTCGGTTTATTTTTTATTAAGACATAGCATAAATTAACGATGTTTCTTGGAGTTATAATCAATAAGAGTAT